AGTTGCTCCAATTACCCATTCTGACCACACTCATTCATTCCCCCAAAATGTAATAAGTGCCTGTATAATGAGTGTATTCTGTGCCTCAACTTGGTTTCCTTCTTGCCTGGCTTCTCTGCCATGACTCTGCCCCCGTTCCATCTATATCGCTCCCCACCTCACCCCTCAGAATGCCATCTCCTGAGTGTAATTCATCACTGCCTCTGGGCCCTGCCACATCACCCATTCACCCAACTATCTATCTGCCCTTCTGTCCATCATCCATTATCCATCTATCCATCCATCCAACCAACCAGCCAGCCAACTATCCATCCATCCATCCATCTATCCATCTATCCATCTATCCATCTATCCATCTATCTAACAATCCATTCATCCATCCAACCATCCACCCATTCATCCATCTAACCATTTATTCACCCATCTATCTATCCATTCATCAGCTCACCATAGAATAGCCTGGTGGTTATGAGACCTTTGCTTTGGAGTTGGAATACCTGGGTTCACATCCCAGTTCTGCCTCTTACAGCCTGGTGTGACCTTGAGAAAGTCAGTACTTCTCTCTTAGCCTCAGTCTCTGCTTCTGTAAAGTGGGGATTCAGAGGATTGTTGTGAAGATAGAAGAATGCAAAGTATGTGATGGGCTTAGCATTAGCCCAGGCATATAGGAGTTTACCGATACACATAAGATTTTACTACTTGGGGCTTGGAGATGTAAAGTGGGTCAGATACAGAACCTGCCCTCAGGGCCTCATGGTCTGGAGCAGGGGTCAGAAAAACTGTAAAGGGCCAGAAAGTAAATATTTTCTGCTTTGGGAGTCATATGGATTCTGATGCAACTACTGAATTTTGCTGTTGTAGCACGAAAGCAATCATAAAATGGGTGTGGCTGTGTGCTAAAAAAACTTTATTTACAAAATCAGGTGTCAAGCCAGATTTGACCCTTGGGGCCCCTGCTATATATCTAAAGGAACAAATAAACCAACTACAGTACAACAGGGGGTAGAAAAAAGGTTCAGAACAATTCAGAGTTCTCTGGCAAAGACTGTCTGCAGAGAGTCAGAGAGAGAGTCCTTGGTTGTCAGGCAGGAAAGGTGAGAAAGAGTGGTGAGAACAGCACAGAAGCAAGCAGGCAAATTGTGAATTGGGGGCTCATGTGGCGGGGAGGAGTGGAGAGGGCTCTGAATGTCATACTAAGGGGACTGGAGTCTGTGGGGCGGCGAGCAGAGAAAGGGAGTGACCATCAGAGATGTTATGTCAGAAAGACACACCAGCCACCAGGACAGAAGATGGCACCTGGGGGGCACTGACAATTGTGGTTGTTTGTGTGGGCAAACCCCAACAAGAGTTGTCGTTGTACAGAGAGGTCAATAATAGAGGCTGAAATTAAGACAGTGGCAGAGTCAAAAGGAGGAGAGGATTGGGTCGACAAATGTCATAGCTGTGAAATTGACAGGACTCAGTGTCCAGAGGGATAGCAAGGGAGCAGTGCCAGTCTTCAGGTTCCTGCCAGGTCACTGAGAGGACAGGGCAGAGACACTGATATGGGACGAGGAAGGAGAAGGGAAAACAAGGAGTTTGGTCTTGACAACTTGAAGTTGGGGTACGGGTGGGAATATCAGGCAGTGATGACCACTAGAGACAAAGTCTAGAGCTCAGAGGAGCGAGTCTGTCACCAAAAATCAGACTTCAGTGTGTGACATCAGAGTTAGGGCTCAGTCTGTGACTGGGGTCAGGGTTCAGTGTGTGACCAGAGTTGGGATTCAGCTTTGGGCACAACGATGGGAACCCAGTCTATGACACCAGGATGGGGCCTAGCCTATGATACCAGGATCAAGGCTCAGTGTATGACACTGTGATCGGGGATCAGTCTGTGACATAAAAATGGGATTCAACATGTGACACCAGGATTAGAATCCAGCTCAGCCTGTTCCTGGGTGAGAAGCTTCTGTAGAAAGACTAAACTTAGCCCTGGCCTTTCACCTTTAGCCTTTGGATGCCAGACCTACAGGGTCGCAGATGCCAGGCATGAGCTTTTGCCTTTGGTCTCTATAGGCTGTGGGTGGCCTCAGGCCTCCATGAGGCTCCTGTCCAGTAAAGCAGGCAGGCCCTGCAGCCTCTCCTGAGGCGCCTGAAGGACTACCCCTCGGGCAGCTCCTCCTCCTCTCCCAAGCTCCCATCAGCCTCCAGGACCCACCCCCACATCTGGCTTTTCTCCTCCTTCCAGCCTGTTTGTTTTTTTCCTGAGTCACAGATGCTCCTCGGCTCCAGGGCGGGGAAGGCTGGAGATGCGGGCTTTGCGAAGGCAGCAGAACAGTCCCTCGGCCAGCCTGGAAGGGTAGCTGGGAGAGCAGTGATGGTTGAAACTGTGGCATCGTCACACACTGTGGCAGGCCAAAGGCATCAAAGGCTCATCTACCGTGAAGCGAATGCAGCTAAAGCCCCCTGTGCACCTGCCCCTCATAACTGCAAGGGGTCCCAGCAACTTTTCTGATAACAAATTTATTGAGAGATAATTCAACACCATGCAAGTTACCCATTTAACATGTACAATTCCATGGCTTTTAGTATATTCACAGCATTGTGCAACCATCAATTTTAAAACATTTTCCTCACCCCAAAAAGAAGCTCATGTCTTTTGATTATGGGGTTATCACCCCATAATCCCCCATTTCCCTCCCCCACCCCCCAGCCTTAGGCAACCACTAATCTACTTTCTTGGACTCTTATTGGTTCACCTTTTCTAGACAATTCATATAAGTGGAATCACATAGCATGTGGTCTTTTGAGACTTGACTGGTTTCTTTGACTTAATATACTGCCTTCAAGTTCCATCTACATTGTAGCAAGTGTCAGTGCTTCACTCCTTTTCATGGCTGAGTAATATTCCTTTGTATGGATGGACCATGTTTTGTGTATCTGTTCATTGTTGATGGACACTTGGGTTGCTTCCACCTTTTGGCTACTATGAATAATGCTGCTACAAACAGTCATATACAAGTTTTTGGGTGAACATATGTTTTTATTTCTCTTGGGTATATACCTAGGAGTGGAATGGCTGGGTCATATGCTAACTCTATGCTTAATGTTTTGAGGCGCTACCAAAATGTTTTCCAATCTCCTTGATTTTTTGTGGGGTTTTTTGTTTGTTTGTTTGTTTTTGTTTTGTACACATGTATATGTGAGTGTAACCTTTTCATTCATCTATTTATCAAATGTGTTTATTTCTGCCTTGGCTATTTTCTGATGTTCTTGCTACCTCCCAAAGGCCCCAGCAATTTTATATTCATAATATTGTATTATTTTTCTTAAAGAACTCCCTACCCCTTGTACAAGCTTCAGGGCCCCCAAACATGGGACAGTGTATGTAGATACGCAGCTGGGAGAAGAGGGAACATGAATGGGTATAGACAGCCCCGCCCTGTCCCCCTCTCTCTGCTCACCCCATGTCGGGATAGAGAAGGACATCATCACCCCTTCCCCTCTGCCAGCAACAATGATTATAGGCTGTGTGACCACAAAATGTATCACCCAACACACATCCTTTGGGCAGTGAAAGGGGATACTGTCTATAATTACCCTGGCTCATGTAGCATTAACTAGGACTGTTGCCAGCAAACCAGGACATAGGGTCACCCAGCCATAGGGGACACAAGCTATGGAGTGAATGGGGGACCTAACTTGGTACTTTCTGAAGGTATCCACCATTCCACTCTCCTCCCCAATTTCTGCTCCACCTCAGACAGCTACTGCTGTTACTGCAGAAGTACTGGGCAGTCCCTCCATGTCCCCCCACACACACACATTGGTCTACTCTCCTCTGCCTTTACCCTCCTCAAGCCTCACCTGCAGGCACAGTCCCCTCACCTCTGTGGTTTGCGCAGGACCTGGGATGTCTCTGGAGGGGGATGGAGGTGTGAAGGGCACCCAGGTGTCAAGGCAATGAAATGCCCGCAAAAGAGGCGCCATAGGTGGGGGTGTGGGGGAGATTCCTGGAGGGAGTGGCATGATCTCCACGCAGGTGACGGCAGGCATGGTGTTCTCAGGCAGCGAGTCCTGCAGGAGCAGGGAAAAGGCACAGAAAGAGGATCCTGGTGACCATGAGTGACGAAGCCAGGAGAGTCAACCTTCCTCCTGCAGGCAGTGGGGAGCCTCCACAGGGACCCCACCAGGCAGGATGACATGCTACACCTGCAGTGTAGGGGGCAGGAGAAAAGAGAAGGAGCACCCGCTCCTCCCATAGCAAGGGGCTCAGTCCAGAGCCTGAGACCAAGCCAGGGCACCCTCCTGACCTGGAGGGCAAGGATGGTGGCCACACTGGACAAGCATCCCGATATTATGCCTGACACACATTGGGCCCTGTTATCCTCACCAAAGCCCTGAAAGGTGGATATTATCACACCCACCTTCCAGATGAGGAAACAGGATCCTTCCCCAAAAGTGTGCAACCATTAGCGGCAAGTCCAGGAAGGGACACAGTCTGGTTTGCCCGCAAAGCCCATGTTTTCCCCTCTATCCCATGCCACCCAGAGGTCCCCAGAACTCAAAGGTCAATATAGGGACAAGAGGCAGCCTGAAGTTCCACCAATAGAGACCTTCCAAATGTGGGCATTGGGCACTTCTTTTGGTCTTAGGAACCCATTTTATCCTAATGAGGGCTTTTTGCTGAAGCAGGCATGACAAATCGACTTCACCTTATGAGCCTACTTGGATCAACTGGACATAGCTGCCAGAAATGGTGTGCTGGGAAGGATTCCAAGCGGACAAATGGCTCAGCAGGAAAGAGCCTCGTGATTGCGTAGAAATGTCTGCCACAGGCTCAGGACGAGGAAGGGGTGGCACGGATGTTGGCTTAAAGATCATTGAGGCCATCCTCCCTAGCCACGCCATTTTATAGTTGAGGAAACTGAGGGCCGGAGAGAGCCAAAGCAGATGAAGAACTCAGGGCTCCTTGGGCTGCCCAGCTCAGCCCTGACACCTTGTCCCTCCTTTCTCCACAGGCTCTGAGCCCAAGCCATGTGCCCAGCCCTTTGACCCTGGGGCTGCAGCCTCGGCCACCGAGAGCAGCAGTGGACCCTGGAGGCCCGAGCATCCGGACTTCTTCTCTGCTATGGGGGATGAGCAGGTAGGTGTCTGCTGAGGCGGGCAGGAGCAGATGGCAACAGTAGCAGCAAGTACACTTTGTTTAGCACCTGCATTTCAACAGGCACCTTGTGTGCATTATCTCAGGGAACCTCATTAAAACTTGGCAAAGCAGTTTTTATCCCATGTTACAGATGAGGAAAATGGAATCCTTTTTGGAACAAGAAGAGAGAGAGAGGGATAAATAGGGGGTGGGGGGATGGAAGGAAGGAAGGAAAGAAAGAAGGAAGAATAAATGGATTGACGGATGGACAGATGGACAATGGATGGCTGGATGGATGGATGGATAGATAGATGGATAGATGAAAAGATGGATGGAGGGAAGGAAAGAAGGAAGGAAGGAAGGAAGGAAGGAAGGAAGGAAGGAAGGAAGGAAGGAAAGAAGGATGGAAGGATGAAAGGGTGGTTAGATGGGTGAGTGCATGGGTGTATGGCTAGAAAAAAAGAGAAGACAAAGCTCCCGTGGGGATCTCTGGGCCAGAGCAGCCCCACAGAGTGGTCCCATGTTGGGCTGAGATGGCCAAGCCATTACACCCACGCATCAATCAGCTGTGGCCTGTGGTTGCCCAGGAAGAGGTGTGACTTCCCCGATGGGGGATGATAGCTGGCAGCTATCTTCTGATAGCCGCACCCCCATATCTGGTGCAGCATGTCCTCATTGAAGGGGGTTCTGAATGGCATTTTACACTGCCCACCAGTCTAAGGAAGGAGGGTGTGTTATAGTTAAAAGGGCATTCTGCATACCCGCCCCTGTCATTTTCTAGAAGAGGACACCGGAGCCCAAGCAGAAAACGGATTGGCCCAAGTGTCAGGAAGGGTCCAGGGTAAACAAAGATAGGACAGGAGACTAGTTCAGTTACGGGTCCTTCTAGGGCCCTGGACCTCTTGGAGGAGGAACCATGGGCTGTAGGCAGTCGGGCAGACGAGACGGTGATGTGCCTGGGGAGTAGGGGACCTTTGGAGTATGTGGCAAGGCTCCACCCCTCCCCAATAAGCCCCCCCACCTGTGTTCCTGTCATTGTCACCCACTTGGTCACCAGAGCTGGAGGCAAAGGAAGGCATTATCCTTGCCCCCTCCCTTCCCCATCTGTCCCCAAGCCCTGTGAACACTGCACCTGCACAGCCCTCAGTTCCGTCCACGTCTCTCCCTCCTCCTCCACTGCCCTCCTGGAGGTGGCCATAACTGCTCTCCCACGGAATTTGCACAGGTGTGGTGGCTGCCCCTCTAGCCTCCATCTTGCCCCTGGCCAAGACCATCTCCACTCTGCATATTGCATAATCTTTCTGGAGGCAAGTCACAGTCCCCTGGCCTCCCTACCACCACTGTTTGGAGCTCAGAAATTAAATCCTTACTTGGCCTACCAGGCCTGCTGGTCGGGGCCCCATTGCCCCACCCTCCACACCTCCAGCCATAAGGAGCTCTTGCCAGTTGTTAGAAGGTACTGTTAGTTCTCAAGCCTGAGGGCTTCTGAACTTCCTGTTCTTTTGTTGCCCGAAACGCCCTCACCCACAGCCTCTGCCTAGCCAACTCCTACTTGTTCCTCAGGGCTTCACTCGCTGTCGCTTCCTCTGGGAAGCCCCCCACCACCCTGATTTCTTTTCTTTCTCTTCCTTCCTCCCTCCCTTCTTTCCTTCCTTTGTCTCTTCCTTTTACATTTAGTAGGTCTCTTTATTGAAAGTCTATGAACGGATAAGATGTAGATTTTTTTTTTTGAGCTGAGCCATTAGATCATTTTTAAATGTATGAACCTTGACCAGTATAGCCAGTTCAAGAAATCATTTACATGTCCCGTGGAGACTATTTTATGTGGTTTGAAATAGGGGTGTTTGGTTTTGTTTTGGCTATGGAAACTGTCTAAAGATTGTCTAACTTTTCCTAATGAAGTTGTACTTAGTAGGTTTTCACACCAATGATTACCTTGGGTTTTGTACTTTTAAAAAAGGGGGTTTTCTAAGTAAAATCCTGATCTAGAATTCCTATCCCTCTGGGCAGGGTCAGCTGGCTCCCCTCAGTTCTTCCCCAGCCCACTTCCTGGAACATTCTATCATACTTGATTGTAATTGCTGGGTTTAATCACCACTCTTCTCCAGGAGGACAGGGGACTGGTTCTGTGACTCTGTGACGTGGTCATCAACTTACCCAGAGGAAGGACCCTGACTCCTGAAATATAAAAACTTGAAATATAAAAACAGCAACCATCCTAATATTTGCTTCCATTGCTCAAGGGCTTGCAATATACAAACCTCATCTCATTTTACCTACAGAGCCATCCAACAAGAAGGCAGCATTATGCCCATTTTAGAGATGAGAAAACTGAGGCCCAGAGAGGTTTAGGAACTTGCCCAAGGTCACACTGAGCTATTAAAGCCATACTGGGACTGCAAACCTTGACTAAGGCCTTTCTACCAGGCTGCCACTTGAGAACCATCTGCCCTGGTATTTATTTGCTATTCTCTTTGGAACCAATTCCCTTTTTTTTAACAGGATGAGATGGAGCAAGGAAACAATATGTGTGAAGTTGCTTTGGTATGCTATATTTTCTTAATAGACAATGAGATAAATAACTGCATTGTTAAAAAAAGAAAAAGAAAAAAAAAGTTTATCCGTGTACTATTTAAATCTGCACGCAATGAGCCCATCTGCAGAGTGGGGATTCCTGGGATATCTTGCCTCCGGGTCTGAGCTGGGAGCCCATCCCCCAAGGTTCCCCAGGGTCCAGGGATCCACTCTAGGGTGCCAGTGTGCAGTGTTTAATCAGATGCCTGGAAAGGCCCCCATTGGGTCAGCTCCCACCTTGTTTCACTAAGAAGTGTTGGCAGAAAGGTACAAGTTCCCCAGCAAAGCCCCCTGCCACTCCCTTCCTGGGTGTACCTGCTGCAGGGAGCTGGGACAGCCTGTGCCACAGCTGCCGGCCACCCCCGCTCTGGCTGCTGGCTGGCTTCCCACTTCTGCCTCGAGTGAGTGAGGCCAGATGCTGGAGAGGGAAGGGGGGACCCAGCCCAGGCAAAGAGGCTGTCCTGATGTGTTTATATTCATAGGGGGATGAAAACCAGAGACACGAAGAAACTTTTCAGGCAGTGGCAGAGGAGACAGGCGGTCGGTAGAGGTTGTCCAGGAACCAGGGATGGGATTTGGAGCGATTTAGGGGAAAGGGCAGAGCAGAAAGGAGGCTGCTGCTGAGGTCACAGGAGGGCCAGGCTAACCTGGGTCAGCCGGGCCAGCCAGGGCCAGAGGTGTGGGTATTTTGACAGAGACTAAAGAAGGGGGACCCTGGTGTATGAAGGACAGATGGAGGAGGCGGAGGGGGAGAAGGGGCAGCCCAGGAGGTGAAAGAGCAACACTTCAATGGGCTCAAAGGAGAGAGTCCAGAAGAAGGGAAACTGGAAAACAGCGTAGCAGTTCCTCAGACAGTCAAACATACAATTGCCATGTGATCCAGCAATTCCACTTCTCGGTATCTACCCAAAAGAACTGAAAGCAGGGACCCTAACAGATATCTGCACACCCGTGTTCACAGTAGCATTATTCACAGAAGCCAAAAAGTGGAAACAACCCAAGTGTCCATCAGCAGGTGATGGATACACACAATGTGGTCCATCCATACAACAAAATGTTATTCAGCCTTAAAAAGGAATGAAATTCTGGTACCTGCTAGAATATGGATAAACCTTGAAAACATTTTTTAAGTGAAATAAAGCAGACATAAAAGGACAAATACTGTATGGTTCCCCTTGTATGAGGTCCCTAGAGGAGTCAGACTCAGAGAGACAAACAGTAGATTCAAGGTTTCCAGGGGCTGGAGGAGGCCAAAGTGGAGAGTGAGTTTTTAACGGGGACAGGGTTTTTGCTTGGGATGATGAGAAAGTTCTAAAGATGGATGGTGGCAATGGTTGCACAGCGATGTGAATGTACTTGATACCATTCAACTGTAAACTTGTAAACGGTAAAAATGGCAAATTTTACGTTAGGTATATTTTGCCACAGTAAAAGTAGGAAGGGAGTGGTCAGAACTCTAGAGAGCGCCAAGTGGGTCGTCAGTCAGGGGGATAAAGGCCAGAACCCAGTCCTTCCTCATTCCAAGGCGACGTCCCCTGCCAACCAAGACCTGCCACTGACCAAGAGCCTGGCTTTTACCTGGCAGGTATTTTTTACTTTCAATTGGAAACTTCTTTAAAAATTGCCCCCATCAAGCATTAACAGGAATCCCTCTGTCCCCTCTCACCTGGTAAAGACTGGCAATACTTGGCCAAATGGTCCAAGAGTGGGGTTACAAGAATGAACAAATGAAATTACAGGATACCAGTTAGATTCTAACCAAATATTGCAATGTTTGGGATACACTTATACTAAAAAAAACCTATTCATTGTTTATCCAAAATTCAAGTTTAATCAGAGCTGTATTTTTTATCTAGTAATCCTATCCTGGGGACCTCTCGCTGAATTCATGAAGGGGGCCACCTTCAGTCCACCAATTGGAACAGTCTACCAAAGGCTTCCTGAGATCACATGGATGCCTGGGGCCATGTCTCACTGTTGGGTTTAAGTGAAGCAATGGGAGAGGCCCACCCACCCACTTACCCACCAAACTCTATATGAGGACAATCCTAGCAGAAGCCTGGAAAGGAACAGAGGGACACCTTCCCTAACTTCAAGGAGTCAGGATAATAGGCTGCAAGGCATGCTCAAGTTGGGTTTTCAAAGATGAATAGGAGTTCGCCAGGCTGACTCTAGGTGAGCTGGGAGAAAATGTTCTCCAAGTAGAAGTCAAGGCAGGTACCCTGGCTAGAAAAATTGACAAATAGAATGACTGGGAGAAAAAGAGAAGGGCAAAGAAAGCAGAGGAAAAGAACTAGAGAGCAGTGAGTAAAGAAAGAGCACAGAGCATGGATCCTGACAGACCTAAGTTTGCGTCCAGCTCTGCCATTTATTCACTATAGGCCCTGGGCAAGTCCTTTTTCTTTCCTGAGCCTCAGTCTCCTGATCTGGAAAGTGGGATAACAATGCCCCCTGGTGGAGCTGCTGTGAGATTAGGGATGCACATCTGTGTATCTGGTGCCTGGCATGTTGCTGCCTAGTGGGTGGGTGGGAGGGAAGCTGAGACTGTAGAGCGGGCAGAAGCCAGAGGCAGCTGACCCTGCAGCCTTTTGACCTGTGCTGAGTAGCTGTAGCTTCTACCTGTCAGAAAGGGGAAGGCCCTGGAGGGACTGACAGCTCAGGTGTTCCAGACTCCACCCTGGTTGGAGGGAGCAGGGCTGGAAATGGGGAGAGTCGGGCAAGGAGAGTGATTCAAGTGCAGGGTCCAGCACTGTCTTTTCTTAACGTGTTGATAATTGGTTCATCGTGGGTCTCCTTGCATTACTTTTGAGTTGTTTTAAATATTTCATTAAAATATTATCTTGACTCCTGCGTTTTTTGTACCCGCTTTAATTGTGTGCCAGGGGTGAGTGCCTCACTTGCTTCACCCTAGTCCCAGCCTGGGGGTAGATTTAGGGTCCAGGAGGCCCATGAGGAGTACAGGGACAAGACTAGGAGCCCCAGCACTGCCTGAAATTCCACCATTCGTGTCAAGGATGATGTACTTCCATGAAGTGCTCTGAGAAGTTGCATCTGCAGACATGATCTTCTTCCATGAGCCTTAAACAACGCCAAGTGAGCTGGCAGGGCAGAGGTTTCTTAAGACTATCAGATGGAAACTCAGAGAAGGAGGTGAAATCAGGTCTGGCAGTCCAGACTTCCAGCCCCTTTTTTTGGAATAAGGCCTTGAAGGCGCAGGTGAGACAGAGCGCTGGGGGCTGACTACTCCCCGTTCCACCCCACCTGCTGTGAGAAGGGCACTGAGTCCAGGTTCAACAGGAGGAGGATGGGCAGGGTCTGGGTGTTGGGGGCCTCTGCTACCTTTAGTCAATCAATGCCCTCTTCTCCCCATTGGCCTACAGGAAGAGGCTATCCCCGGGCAGCTCAGAGAGAGCATGGACGACCTCAGCCTAGACTTGGAGGCCCTTCAAGGCAGCGAGTATCTCAAGGACCTGGGACTTGGGGCCCCTTCCCACAGCCAGACAGGGGGGACCAAACACAGTGGCCCCCCCAGTGAAGCAGTGGGAAGAGATTCATCCTTCAGTTCGGCGGGGTCCCAGGGCCTGCCTCAGAGACGCAGCTGGGAGAGGTCACGGAGCTGCTCAGACAGCTGGCAGAGGTGGGTCCCCCATCCCTGCTACCTTCTATGACACACGCCCAGGATCAGGGGTGTCTACCCTTGGCAAAGGTAGCCCTCTCCCAAGACACACATTCATGCCCACACGTAGAGCCTGTGTGGGCACACGAATCCATGTGCATGGGCAAACACAAGCCCAAAATGAAGCTGTATATGCATGCTGCAGGCAAACACAATCCCAGGCGTGCACACTTGCCTACACACACTAGGTATACAGACCCACATTCAGTCCGCAGGCTTGCACACTTGCCCTGCTCCAACACATACATATAAACCTAAATGTGTGCCTTGCATAGCAGTTGCACACGTGCACACACAAAGCCACAGATGCACCTGGGGTCAAACCAGTTGGATGCTCAACTCCACACACACCACAGTGGCAGCCCCAAATAATGGAGAGGTGTGCTTTAGCCACCTCCCCACCCATCCCCCTTCACTCTTCTCAAGTCACCCCAAATAGAAAGCCAGTCCATGTAAAAATGGGTGGTCTGTGATGCAATTGTAGCTTCAACAAATCCCCTAATTGGGTTCTCTCCACACTACCCCTCTGATTGGAGAGACCTGGACCCCTCTCTGTGCCCTGCCCTGGAAGCATCACCTGCAGGTCCCCCCAAGGCCCCGGATGCTGAAGCTGGATGATGCAGCTAGGTGAAAAAGACCCGCTGAAGCCCTTACTCCCTCCCTTCTTCCACCAGGCTCAGCCTTGACGCCTCCCCTGTGAATGAAGGGCCCTGTCTCCCTCGGACACTAGCTAGCCTTGCTCTGAACCTGCCCGGAGAAGGTCTGCAGGCCTGGACTAAAGAGTGTCTGTCTGAGGACAAGACCCCAGCAGAGCACCCAGGCAAGGTGGGTGCAACCTACAGCCACCCTGAACCATAACACACCTCTGAGCCCAGGAACCAGCACTGCCGGTGGGACTCACATGGTGGGACTCACCTGTGATGGTGGGGCTGTCCGGTGGGGTTGTCCATGCTGTACTGTATCCCATGACCAGGGAGTTCCTGAGTCCTGAAGATTGCAGCCCAGGCCTGAGGGCTCTTCACTGGGTCCCCAGCAGGGACCCCTTGGCCACAAGTACAAACCATCTGCTAGGGGGCAAAGGAATATCTTGGCTTTGCAGCTGGAAGGAAGCCCTGTCTATGATTGGAGTCAGCAACTGGGAGAGCTTGTCTCAAGTCTGGGATTCCAGCCCATCTCAAGTCTGAGATGCATCCCTGGGAATGCATCTCAGGTCTATGGCCTGTGCCTGGGGCATCTTTGCTCATGACTATGACCTGGAGTTGGGGGGGGGGGTTCCTGATGTGCTGAAATCTGTAGCTCAGAGTTTCAGGGCTTCAGCCCACAGGTGGGAGTGGGGGCGTCCCTGGGCTTGGACTGTAGCCTGTTGCTGGAGACGGTATGGCTCTAGCCCTTGGCTGCTAGAAGGATCCATCTGCCCTGTGGCTAAAGGGAGCCCTTGGCTAGAGGCTGGGCTGGGGTCCCTTGATCTAGGAATCTGACTGCAGCTTGGGGTACCTCCCCAGCTTAGCAAGATGTTTATTCCCTGCAGGAATGTAACAGCCCTGAGAAAAGAGTGAGGTCACGGTCTGTTCCCATGTCGGTTGATGAGATCAGCTCCCTGGAAATCTCTGGGGCCTTGGAGGTGCCCGTTCCAGCTGTTCAAGGTAGCCAGGGCTGGGACTTTCCCCCATTCACCGGAAGTAGGGTGAGGGGTTTGCGCTGGAGGGTGCCTTGGATAAGGTCCCAGCTGGGCCCCAGAGAAGGGCAAGGAGCTGGGGGAGGGGGCTTAGGGTCTCCTGGGGCTCCTGGGGGGGTAGCTCAAGGGAGGGGGTCCTCCAACATCTGCAACACCCTCTTCCCCCTGGGCCTAGAGCCAGGGCGCACTGCACCATTGCAATGACCTGCCCAGGGTTCTCTCTTCTCTTTCTGACTCTGTCTCTTTCTTTATCTCCTTGTCTGTCTTTAAACCTCTGTCCTAAGAGCATGTGTCTCACTGGTGTCAGACAGACCTGCAGACTAAACCCAAATCTATGACTTTCTAGAGAGTCTCAGCCACCACACAGCTTTCTCTATAAAAATGGAACGATGAGTGTATCCCCTTAGGGCCACTTGGGGGTTCACTGAACACACACATGCAAAGCACTTAGCATATTGTAAGCACTTGTGAGCAGCTCAGGACACCTCCACCCCTGGCTCTCTGCCCTGTTTGTGCCTCTCCTGCCGAGAGTGGCAGACCTCCTCCGGACTGTCTCCAGCTCTACAGAGGTGGGCCGGGGGGGTCCATTGCACAGCTGGTCCTGCTCCACAGCTCCCTCATGACTGTGCCTCCTGGGGTGGGGACTGCTTCCAGGACTAGAGCCCCCCATACTGGAGTGCATGGAAAAGGACCACGTGGAGTCGAATCATGTGTGAGTGTCTACCCCGCGGTGGAGAAGGGACCCCAGCGGACAGGCAAGGGGTCAGGGGTGGGGGGGTGGGGGGGAGAGGGGAGCGGTGCAGGTTGTAGCGTTGCTAGCAGTGAGTGACTGGGGCCAGTCACAGTCCCTCCCAGTCCCCCTATAACCTTGGTCTTCTCTCCCACACCATCCTTCTCCCAGGGGAGGGACCCAGGTCCCTGGGAAAGGCTCTGACACAGCAACAGGAGAGGGGTTGGGGCTCCTGGTTAGGGTCTGCATCAGGACCCAGGGCTTGGTGGGATGATCCCAAATCATCTTGAGAAGTATGTCTGTAATTTGGGGCAACTCTGGGCTGTTTTTAATCCCCCCTCAGGCTGATTGTCCAGCAGGTGCTGCAAGAACTTCGACAGTACCATGGGTAAGTGGGAAGAGGGACAGGTGTGGGGAACAGGGGTGAGAGGACAGATGTGGGGACAGGTAGGGGAGTGGACATGTATGGCGAACAGGTGTTGGAAATAGACTGTAGAGAAGACAGGGAGAAATGGGTACAGGAGAGGTAGGAGAAGGGACCAGTGAGGAAAAGGACAGGGGACATCAGCTAGGGAGGTGCAAGCTGCCACTAGCCCATGAGGTACCGCTGTACAAATGAGAACAGGTGCCTCTTTCTCAGATAGTGCCCTCTGTTAGGAAATCTCCCTGACACTCTGATTTTGTTCCACCAAGACGTGTCACTGCCCTCTGCTGGAACACCGCCCCAATGACCACGCGCACAAGCCCACATATGGAGGAAGGGTGGGCTCTCAGACATGGCACCTGGAGCACAGCTATATCCACAGAAGCCCTGAGGGAGAGGGGCAGGAAGGGGCAGCTGGGGGGTGGGGGGCTGCTGCCCCAGGTGTCTGTTCTCTCTGGTCCTGCAGGGCTCGGCAGAGGGCTCGATTGTCGGTCAGCCCCGGAGGAGCCCATTCAAACCTCACCTGGTTTGAGTTCCTGTCTGAGTAAGTTGGCAGAGCTGCTGCAAGATGGGAGCTGTGGGTGGGCGGGCGGCACTGGATTTAAACAAGCGGTTTACCAGCAGCCCTCTGTGCCTGGCTCTGAGCTGTGGGCAGAAGCTGCAGCCCCCATCCTCTCACTAGAGCCACCAAAGCCAACAGTGGGGGTGGCAAATGTGCCCGGGGTAGGGGTGGGGGAGGCACCTCACACACCCTGAAAGGGCAGAGGAAGGCTACCTGGAGGAGGTGACAGCTTGAGCTGGGTTCCAGTGAAAGAGCAGGAGTTTGCCAATATGTGGAGATAAGGATGGAAGAAAGAAAACAGTGCTTTCTGGGGGAACTGCAGGGCGCCTAGGAAATGGTGTCAGGGTGGAGCTGGGAGGAGGGACTGTGAGGGAAGTCAGCAGAGGCTGCAAAGCTAAGAAGCACAGCTCTCTTGTGACTGATAATGGTGAGCACAGCTAGGGCTGGAGGCGGGTGGGGGGGTGCAGACGGGAGGTGTGGAATCTCCTTCCAGGGGACAGATTCTCCCAGGGCTGGATTTGTTTGTTGCTGACTTAATTAGTATTTATTAAATGAGGCTGTGTCTGTGATCCAGGAGAGGCGTGAAGGTGATCTGGGGCTGAAGTGTTGGTGGGGTGGGGGCGGGGTAAGGAGAATCAAATTTGAGAGATATCCCACAGGAAAAATGGGCAGGATTTATAGGCTGATTAGATATGGGGGGAGGGTTAATCTGAGGGAGGAGGTAGAGATGGACAGAGCCAAGGTTTCCAGCCCAGGTACATCAAGGGATCTCAAGCTTGAGGCCATGTCCATGTCCCACTGCAAACCCAGTCCCTGAGATTCCAGGAACTTTGCAAACAGTTGCAAATGTCTGTCGGGTGAGAGAAAGAAGGAGAGAGTTGGGGACTATACAGAAGGGGTGAAACAGGACGAGGAGGCCAGAAGGAGATGGATCCCAGGTAGATTCCAGGAGCGATAGGCAGGATTGGCTAAGCAGAGCCCTCTGGGCCTGCTGCCCCCTCCTCATTGATCTTTCCACCCCTTAGGAGCGAGGATGGTTCCAGAAAGATGGAGAGGAGTGACAGGGGCACCGGGGTGAAGCGCAGACTCAGCTCCCTCCGCAGCCGGGTCACCAGGCAGAAGGAAAAGGTCAGAGGGCTGGGTCTGAGGGTGAAGACCCTCTCCCATCCCCAGCTTGTCAGGGTGCCCCTGGCCCCAGAGCCATGTGATTCACGGCAGATCTGGATACACAGGGCATTCTAACTCCCAACTCTGTCCCCCACAGGGGAAGAGCCCAGTGCATCTAAAGGACAAAGGTCAGGATGCTCGAGAGAGGAAGGAATGTGTCAATGGCCACCAGCTGGCACAAGGAACCTTCTCCAGCCACTCCAACTGCCCCCTGTGTGGCGAACCCTTTCTGAGCTCTGGTAAGTCTGGTAGCCCAGCCTGTCCCCCTGGATGGCAGCCGTTTTCTCTCCTTTACTTCCTCTAAATCGCTCTCGTGGCCTCCTTGCTCTTTGCATTCTTGTCCCATTTCACCCTTGCCAAGAGCGGGCTGACCTAAGCACCCTGAAGAGCACCAGGTCCCTAAGGGAAGGGACCATTTGGTTAGATTACAGCCTGCAAAGTTCCCTTTAAGTTTCAGCAATTGTCATTGCAAAGATCCTCTTGTAAAACACAGACTCAGTAAGTGTATTAGTTAGCTAGGGATGTGTAACACAACATGGGCAGCTTAAACAACAGAAACGTACTGTCTCACAGTTCTGGAGAAATCTGAGATCAAGTTGTGGGCAGGGCCGGGCTCCCTCTGCAGGCGCTGGGGGAGGGTCCACTTCAGGATACTCTCCTGGCTTCTGGTAGTTCCTTGGCCTCTGGCAGCAGAAGTCCAGTCTTCACAGTGCATCCTCCCTCTGTGCGTGTCTGTGTCCCAATTTGCCCTTTTAATAAGGACGCCAGTCATGTTGCATTAGGGGCCCACCCTACTCCAGTGTGACCTCATCTGAACTATGTCAGCAATGACCCTATTTCCAAGTAAGGCCACCTCCTGAGATAATGGGGGTATTAGGACTGCAACCTATGGATTGGGGAAGGGAAACACAATTCACCCCATAACAGGCAGCTTCATGTCTACCAGAGCTCTCCAGGGAATAATGGTACGGATCTCTGCTTGGAAAAGAGTACTGGGTTCAAGAGGCCCTAGAGGGAAATGACTCTGGTCTTTTCTGGCATTTAGAATTCTGTCTTTTTTAAAATGAGCTCCACTTTGTAGGGAGGCAGAGGAGGAGGTGGCCATCGCATATCAGAAAGCATGTGTGTGCAGGCTGTAGCGAGAATTCAGACTGTGGACTGTGGCAGGCAGGATTCAGGCTGTTGCAGGGTCCGCCACCTCAGCACTATTGTGCAGGGCTGTTCTGTGCATTGCAGGATTCCTGGCCTCCACGCACTAGATGCCAATAGCCCCCCTCCCATAACATGACTCCAGACGCAGCCAAATGTCCCTTGGGGAGCAGGATTGTCCCGGTGAGGGTCAGTGGGCTAATGAGATACAGAACGGGAGGGAGGGTTGACTGTACGGCGAGAGCTACACCTCCACCCATGGGGCAGGTGCCTCCCCATGACCTGAGCCACAAGTTTTGCACTTCTTTCCTTTCCTGGCTTCATATGCGGGCATTTTCCTTCTTCCTCATTCCTGCCTTTTTCCAGAGTGCCATTTTCACAGATGTAGGGCTGTGGGTGTCCTGCTAGTGGCTGCTGTTATCAGGAGTGTCCCATTTTGAACTTTTCTCTCCATCAGACAAGTTCCAACCTGCTTTGAACACACAAGCTGTCTTCAGCAGGGGCTTGCATGGGCTTTGCAAAGTGCAAAGTGCTCTGACAACTCAGTGTCTTGAAGTCCTTTTTTTTTGTTTTAAGTTCTTTAAGCAGCAGGTGACTTCCTGATTCTGCTGACTTCCTGTGCTCTTCTGGGGGATCTGAGGTCTGGATACAGGGGGGCTTCCTGGGGGGCCAGGATCAAGCCTCTGGAACCCTATCTTGGGTATCTAATTCAAGGGGCAAGCGAGAGGTTGGCAGAAAGAAGGGTGAGGCCAAAGATCTAGAACCAGCCATAGATGGTACATAAGTTGAGTGGCTGCTTTCATGCTACAACGGCGACATGGAGCATTTTGCATCATGATCTCAAAGATTAAAATATTTACTGTAGGACTCAACAGAAAATGTTTGCTGACCCCTGAGCTAGCTTACCCTGCAGCAAGGAAGACCCAAGCAAGTGACTTACCAGAGCCAGCAGATCAATAAACCCTTTACTTATATGACCTTGAAAGATGAGGGTTCCAACAGGGACAAATTTTCCTGTACGTCACTTGGCAATCACAGAAGACTTTGCATAAATAATAAGAATAATGGTTGACAATACACCGCTGAGACTTACAACATCCCAAACACCATGTGCTTTAAATGGATTTCCTCCTTAGCCATCACAACAGCCCTCTAAGATAGGCACTGTAGTTCTCCTTTCTACAGATGAGGGAACTGAGGCCCAATGGAGCTAAGTTCTCGTCCAAGGTCACACATTCAGGCTTCAAGCTCAGAGCCCAAGTCCTTGATCGTCAATGTACTGCTACATCACACCATTTGATATTTTAAAATAATAACAAAATAATCTTTTAAATTTTTTTTGGTTGTACCAAAAGTAAAATTTTATATTTTAAAAGGAAATAAATACCTCAATTTTTTTAAAAAAGAAAGAAAGAAAGAAAACAAAAAAAATGGAGAAAAATTAAATTACAGATGCATGAAAAACAAAAGTTTAGTACACAAAGACATTTTGTGGTTTGATGCGCTTACTGTCAATATTTGGGGCCAATTTTTAAGGTTTTCCCATGAAAATGGCGTTAATAATAGCTCTGTACACTAATATTCAAAATAGCAGGAAAGTGAAAAACACTTTATACCATATTTTCACAAACTGTTCTAAAGACAGCAGACTCTCAGTTGTTTTTCCTTTGCTTTAAAATAAGCTATCAGAAATTCTAAACCAGGCAAAAATTGCCTGGATCATATATAAGCATTCAGATTGCATAAATGTTTTGCAATGAGTCCATGCCTTCTATAAAAGTCTAAAATAGCTAAGGGGAGACTAGAGTTTATTTTCAAACTCTATGACTGGCTTCCTATAATCTCTTATCCGTAGACTTACTGGCAAAATACCAGATATTAAGGATGAGATTTAATTCTTTGGTGTAATCATGACACTGTAATTGATTGCTTTCCGTGGCTAGCATAAACCATTGAGTAACCAAGTCTAGAATACAGTGCAAGAGAGACAGGAGCCATAACTTAATGTTTTGTTTTGCTACAGGAAAAATCAACACTAATTATGTACTCTAGAGAAATGAACACCTATTTAGAGATTTTAACATGATAGCAAACCAGGAGGTCAAACTTCAAAATGACTTCAAACTATAAAATGACTTATAATTTAGAGCTGGAATATTTTGCTGCATTTTGGTAATATACCCTAATTTAGAGTACATAACTATCTGAGGACTCTTAACACCATCCTGGCACAACAGACTCACTCTTCCTACCCCTCCCCTGAGGAGAGAGCTCCTCTTTTCCCCTAAACTTTTAATTTTAGATTTACAGAAAAGTACAAAGAAAGGAGAGAGGGTCCCCGCATAGCTTTCATCCAGCTTCCCCTAATGCTAACATCTTATATGACCACAGTACATTGGTCACAGTTTAGAAGCCAACACTGGTACGATTGTATTCACCAGACTCCGCACTTCATTCAGATTTCACCAGGTTGGTTTTGTTTTGTTTTTTCATTAGGGTTCTCTTTCAACTCAGGATACTACATTATCTTTAATCATCCTGGCTCTCCCATCTCTCTGGTCTGTGACATTTCTTCAGTCTCTCCTTATTGTTCATGACCTTGACAGCCTTGAGAAGTATTAGCCAGGTGTCTTCTACAGTGTCTCCCAATCTAAGGGTGTCTGATGTTTTCTCATGAGACAGGTGTTATGGGTTTGAGAAACCTTCGTCTCATCATATTAGGGGGCAACTGCTATGGAAATGACATCCCTGGGGATGTTCAGTTTCACCACCTGGTTAAGGTAACACCTGCCAGGTTACTATTTTTCTCTCCCTACTATGCTCTTTAGAAGCGAGTCACTCAATCAGGTCTACTCTCAGGATGGTAGGAAGGAAGCTCCGTCTCCTGGAGATATCATTTGATTTTCAGGACAATCCTTTGCGATCAGGGAAGATTTGACTTTGTGTAAAAAAAATGATGTGGGTAGCACTTAACATGGTGCCTGGTACATATATGGGCAGGAGGAGCATCTATCATCATCATCATCATCATCATTATTCTTACGTGTTGTTATTGTTGGGGCAAAGCTAGCACCTGAATCATAGACCCTAACCCTGGGCTATGACCACAGCCACCACACCTGTCTAAGGAGGCACGTGAGGCCAGAACAGCTGTGTCTCACTCCCAACAGGCTAAGAGCTTGCACTTCCTGCATATAACTCGCCACAAGCCTACTTACTGTCAGAGGTATTCAAAGCCACGTGTCATGGTCTGTCCCCTAGAGAAAACAGCCCCACAGGAAGTTAAACAGAACAGTGAATGAGTCACTCTCCAGGCAATTATGGAAGGTGGGTCTCCAGGGTAAAGCTGACATGCTTTCCCAGAGACCAGCCCTGCTACAGGAACACCATTGCAGACAGTCTTGTTCCTGGCCTTGACCTTTGAGGCCCTTCATGGTCTCACCCTGCCTACCCCTCCACCCTTCTCTCTTACTATTCAGCCACCCAGGCTCCAAGGCCCAGATGCCCTAAAGTTTTGTGGCTCCCCCTTGCACATCACCTGAGCCTTGCTCATTCAGCACTGTTCCTGGAACTCCCTGGGCCACCTAACTCTTACTCACCCTTTAAAGCCCAAGAAGCCTCTAATAGGTGACTGTATAAATGTCTCAGTGTCTTGTAGGTCAGTTGCTGTCAGCCAAGGGCCATTTTGCCCCCCGGGGACATTTGGCAATGTCTGGAGATATTTTTGGTTGTCAGGACTGGGGGTGCTACTTACATCTAGTGAGTAGAGGCCCGGGATGTTGTGTAACATCCTCCAATGCACAAGACAGCCCCCCACCTCAGATAATTATCCAGCCCAATGGTCAATAATGCCAAGGCTGGGAAATGCTACCTTAGACTTAAGCTCGCTGTGTCTCCTTAGCTCTCAGCAGAGTTCCTGGCCCATGATGAGGACTGAATATATGAAGAATGGTTGGGTGGTGAAAGAAAGACCAGAGATACCTCTCCTTCTTGCCAGCCTCCTTTAAAAAGTCAGTTTCCACATTCAGGGGAGAATTGTGTCACCTGAAGGCTTCTATAACCAAGGTGGCTATAGAAATAAGGATCGTGT